GCCTCATCGGGGGCCTCTTCACCTACGTCCTCTTCTGTATTTTCCTCTATGGCATGGTGCACGTCTACTGAAATGAGGGCAGGGGTGACTTAAAAGAAAAAAAAGATTGGCAGGACTCTTGCCAGCAATTAACACCGTGTAGACTTACTTAGTTTTTAAATTGTTTGAATTCGCTGCTTGTTCTGCACTGTTGTAATTTATATCTGAAGATAGTGAGCCTGTAATATTCTTCAGATTAAATGAAGTGTGACACCTTATTGAGTTCTTTTCTACCTTGATGCTTAGCCATGCTTTGAAGTCGCCAAGATTTGCTCCCTGTAGAGCAGGCCCTAGGCCATATAGCCTGTACTTTTCTTGGATTTACACCTAGTAGATCCAAAGGTACCTCTAGAGCTTACGTGAGAGAACGTTAACATCTTAAGGACTGATGACAGTTCGTGTTACTAAGCATTCTCTATGTGCAGGTATCGTGCTGTGTACTTTTTGCATCGGGTATGTTTGAATTCTAGCAATAACTCTATGGAGACATTACTGTTCAACTTCTGCTGATGCCCAGAGAGGTTAGATGTCTGCCTGGGGTGGCTCATCTGGGAAGTGTCAGAATCCAGTTACAGTCTGATTGTTGTATATTAGATGAAAGTATCTTTCTAGCTTCCCTCTCACCTACCACTGCTGTCAGGCAGGTTTGAATGAAATCAGTTAAGTTCCAGTTGTATATGGTCACAGCTAGTTATCTGTCCTATAAGAAAAAAACGCAAGCTATTTTTCTAGAATATATGCTATGGCGATTAAATAGGTTATTTGGACATTTAATCAAATGAGTTTGTGTCAAGTGTGATGCCTCTGACTATATGGTCATTCCTAACCATTCCTTTTGAAGGAGGGTTTTAGAATGAAATACATGTTTTAACTGAATATATATGTGTGTGTGTGTGTGTGTGTGTGTGTGTGTGTGTGTGTGTGTGTGTTAGACTTGTAATGAACATGTTGCTCATGAAATTTATAGTCTAACTGGAGAGATTGTCATTACCTGCTTATACAGATTATAATAGATGCCGTGAAAGAATACACAGAAACACTAAGTCTAGACTAGGTTTGGAAATGGAGTCAAGGAAGACTTGAAGAAATAACATTGTCTGAGACTGAAAGGTTAAACAACAGCTGAATAAAATAAGTGGAGGGGCTACTTTGAGAAAAGAGCACGTAGAAGAGCCACAAGGTAGGAAGGATGGTGGTCATAGACCCGATCATAGAAGTTGGCCTTGATTCCATGAGTATTTAGGGGAAGTTTTTGGGAATTTTAGGAGCAATGTGAATTGGCTTTTGTTTTGTTTTTCTTTAAGAAGGGGATGTGAAAGATTGAATTCAAGATCTCTTTCCTAGATTTGTAATGGTCTGCCCACTAAGTAATGGCCCAAGCATCTAGCCCTGAATCCTGTTTTGGGTTCTGGGCCACATGCTTGCATCTCATGCCAAGAATCAGAGGTCACAGCTTTACTTTCCTGTCTCAAAGAGCCCTCTCTGAAGATTCTGACATTTGTGTTTATAGAGCAGCAGCTTCCCTGTGGGAAGGAAGGGCTCATTCCTGATGGCCCCTCACCTGATTTAATGACTTTCCTGTTGTTGAACAGTAAATTTGTTAAAATGTTTGCTGCCATAAAACTATGCAATAACTGCTTTCATATTCCGATCAATTTTGATCAGACTTAATTAATACTCATAGGGCAGAGGGTAAGTTAATTTCAAATACTTCCCAGCATTTATCCAATGAGAAGTACTAGTTTTTAATCACTGTCTTCCCTAGCCTGTCTTTTAATTTATTACTCATAATTATATATAGGTATATGTGTTTGCATGTTAGTGGGTATGTGCACATGAGTACAGGTGCTCACAGCAGCTCCCTTGGAACTGGAGTTACAGTTGTGCTAGGAACAGAACTCTGGTCCTCTGGAAGAGCAGCAAATGCTCTTAACCACTGAGCCATCCTTGTCTTTTAGCATCTGTTCAGTTCAAGAGTCTCCTTGGGGCAGGTAAGATGGCTCAGCAGGTAAAGGTGTCTGCTGCCAAGCCTGTTGACCTGAGGTCAGTCTTCAGAACCCATACTGTCAAAGGGAAGAACAGTCACAAGCACACTGAGGCACATGCATCCCTACACACACATCCACACAATTTTAAAACAATATATACCTATACTTTGATTTGACAAGAAAGGTAATATATGTATTATTATTGCTTTTGTCTGCCTCTTTTTTATCTAACCTTACATTTTTCCCCTACATGGGGTAACCATAAAGGGGAAAAAAAAGGATACATTTACAACTGATGCCTTTTACTATTTTAGAACTAAATAAGTATCCAAAAATTACGGATGTTAGGTTGCTGAAAGTGCCTGGCCCACTTGACTTTTTATGTTAACCGAAGGGAAGAGTCACCCTCTTTCCAAAGAGTGCTTGTCCCTTGTAGGGTAAAACTAAGTGGAACCCTGTTCAGATCTGAAAGATACTGTGATTAGGGACTGTGAGTCCCCAACTCAAGCACCTGGAGCTATGGTTTATGATGCCCTCTCCCTCCCCGCACTGAGAGGAACAACTGAAATAGGAAGGGCAAAAGGCAGCTGTGACAGGAACAGCAGTTAGTGATTTCATGGCTGATTCCCAGGTCACATTGATAGCACCCAGTATATCAGCTGGCCCATGTCATGATGCTCCCAAAGGTATGAAATAACTTTTATGATGATCTTAGATAGCCCAGATTAGGCTAGGGACTGACATATATACAATTCATCAGATCCTTTGGGGTAAGGGCTGTAGCCAATAAGCCAAGTAGTGCCCAGAAAGGAAAATAGTGTATCCTCAAAATTTAGGAGTTCAAGTTCCTGAATTAGAAGCCTCATTCCACATGGAGAAGCTGTGATGGGAGACCTGGGCTACAGCGGAAAACCCTGGGAGGTTTTGGTTTTGGTTTGTTTTTAATTTAGGCACCTGGTTTGCATAAGATGGATGTAAGAAGTGGGGAAGTGCAGGCTGGAGAGATGGCTCAGAGGTTAAGAGCACTGACTGCTCTTCCAGAGGTCCTGAGTTCAATTCCCAGCAACCACATGGTGGCTCACAACCATCTGTAATGAGATCTGGTGTCCTCTTCTGGTGTGCAGATATACATGGAAGCACAATGTTGTATACATAGTAAATATTTATTTTATTTACTATTACATAGTAAATAAAATCTTAAAAAAAAAAATGGGGAAGCGGGACACAAGGCAACTTTGGCAAAATGGGCATCTCTGTGAGAAGTTGTAATCCCTGGCCTTTCTCAGTTTGGGGCCTCCTAAAATGATCCAGTGGAGACCAGTGAAAGAACACTTCACAGTGTCCATGCAGTGACAACCTTCCTGGTTGTTTTCCACATCAAAGCACCTAGGCAGCTCCTAACCTTTCAGATTTAAACTTATCACTCCCTTGAGTACACTTACTCCAGCTGTTCCAGGTTAAAAATGCCCCCAACACCCTGTTTAGGTCATGACAAGTGTGACCACCCACCAGACTGGAAGCATGTGAGAACAGGGGCCACGTGTTTTGCTCACCAGTGTCAGGCTTTAGTCCAACTCCTGACAAGAACAGGTCACAGAACATGAACTCAGTACTTATTTCATTCTGATACAAAATGAGTTGTCTGATTGTCTCCAAGCCATTTCAAAACAGTAGGAAAAAGAGCCAGGCCAAGCAGTGTACCGCCATGAGCCTTGGCCCTCTTGTTTGCTCCTGAACATGAAAGTAACATGCTGGGGTTGCTTTAACAAGGAAGTCTGCTGCCTAAGTGGATCACCCAGGCTTTCACTTTCAGAAAGCAGAATGGCTTGGTGACATCCCCCAGACAACCGTTCTGCTCTGGACACCACTCCCTTCTGCCCCAGTGGTGACAACTCTTCCCCCATATTTTAACTTTTTGGTTTTTCCAGACAGCCTCTCTACATAGCCCTGGCTGGCCTGGAACTCACTATGTAAACTAGGCTAGCCTCAACCCAGAAATCTGCCTGCTCTGCCTCTCCAGTGCTAGGATTAAAGGTGTGTTCCACCATGCCAGGCTAAAAAGACTTTTTTTTTAAATTATTTTACTTCAGGTGTATGGGTGTTCTGCTTGCATGTGTCTGCACCAGTTCATGCTTAGTACACACCCAGGCCAGATCAGGGTTTCTGATTCCCTTGGAACTAGAATTATAAGGTTGTGAGCCATCAGGTGAGTGCTGGGAATTGAACCTGTGTTTTCTGAAAAGACAGCCAGTGCTCTTAACACTGAAACCTCACTTCAGCCCTCCAACCCTTTTTTTAGAATGGGACCTCACTGTTGCCCAGGTTGAAATTCCTGAGCTCAGGTGACCCACTCCTATATACTGGGACTACAAGTGGTCAGCACCCAGCTACCAGGCCCCTTCTGATCACCACCTGCAAGGGCCCAGGGGAAGGATGCTCACTGTCCCTGGCAAGTGTTGGGGGTACTTTCTAGAGAGGAACTCACAGCATTGAGAGAGGCACCTAGACAGCGCCTGGGACTCATCAATGCAGAACTTGGCCCTTGACAGTGGTCTACAGATGAAGAGCTCTGGGTTTCTCACCTTGGGTTTCTCCAGAATCCCCTCCATAGGAGAGCAGAAGAGTGAAGCCACTAGCTCCCCAGCCCTGCATTTAAATGTGTCCCAAGTCTGTTCTGACAGGAAATTCGGTCATTAGATCATTTCCTGGCTGGGTAGCCAGATGGATCCTTAGAAAAATAAAGGAGGGTGAGAGAAAGGGATGTCTTTTTGTTTTTTGATTTTTTGAGACAGGGTTTCTCTGGGTACCTTGGTAGACCAGGCTGGCCTAGAACCCACAGAGATCTGCCTGCCTCTGCCTCCTGAGTGCTGGGACTAAAGGTGTGAGCCACCACTGCCCAACAGAAAGGGCTGTATTAAAAAAAAACAGGGTCTCGGGCTGGAGAGATGGCTCAGAGGTTAGGAGCACTGACTGCTCTTACAGAGGTCCTAAGTTCAATTCCCAGCAACCACATGGTGGCTCACAACCATCCGTTATGAGATCTGGTGCCCTCTTCTGGTATGCAGATACATGGAAGCAGAATACATAATAAATAAACAAATAAATAAATAAATTCTTTAAAAAAAAAAAAAAGGGTCTCACTATATCACCCTCCCTGGCATAGAACTAGCTCCATAGAACTGACTGGCCTCAAACTCAAAGACCCATCTGCCTCTCAAGGGCTGGGATAAAGTTGTTCACCACCATACCTGAGTACTTATATGCTTGTGAATCTTTAAATTTTGAATTAGATTAGGTATTACCTAGTCAAAATGCATATTTCTGTCTTCCAAGTGAAGATGGAAGCCGGGTATAGTGGCACACACCTTTAGTCGCAGCACACTAGAGGCAGGCAGATCTGTGTGAGGCCAGCCTGGTCTACATAGTTTCAGGATAGCCAGGACTACATAGAACCCACCCACTCTCACCCACCCTGACAAAAGAAAAAAAAAAAAAACAGAGTGGGGGATGGGAGAGGGACCCTCCTGGCAACATGTGTGTGTAAATCTGACCTGGTACTCTGTCAACCACCCAAGCTGGCATTAACAATGTGCTTGCAAATCACATTGAGATCTTGGAGAAACTCTTAGGTGGGTAGGATTAGGGAGAGACTTGCAAACTTGCATCTGTGTCAGGCTCTCTGCAGAGAGGATGCTGGTCCATGGACCCCACTCTGAGCTCCATGGGATGAAATGCAATGGGGAAGGAACTGGACACATGTTTCAGGGAAAGTCATCCTTTATCTCATTAGTGCTCCAAGGCTTAGCTTCTGAGAACAGGAATCAGGGGCTCCCCCCAACTCTCCCAGCCCCCAAACAGCAAGATCCAAACCACACAGGCAAGTCTACCTCTCATCTGGGCAAGTCGGTTTCCCAGAGCTACCCTAGACTGTGGGTGGGGGCTAGAATGGGCTAGTGGCTTACCTGCCTTCCCTCCCAAATTCTACCTAGGAGCCCCTGGAGTTTGCTCTCCCCTTAAGTCTTTTCCAGGTGCCTCCACGGCCACTTTTAATTACATCTGGGGGTAGGGCTAAATGTCCCCCTGGATGTCCTCTAACAGCTTTTTCTGAGCAACCAACCTTCTCTGCAGAGACTTGTCAGGAGTCTTGGCTAGAGGCTGGAGGAAGGCCAGGCTGTCTGGGCTGCCTGATGTCTCTGGAGAGAGTTATGTGTGTGCCCCCAACCCTGGGGCCAGGTCAGCATCTCATCTCGTTCAAGCCCCTCAGGACTAAAGTGCAGCATGCACCCATAAATGTGTACTGCGTGTATGAATAACTGTGTGTCCCGCTGAGTTCAGACACAGGCATGTAAACAGTGTCCTACCACTGAAGCCCCTGGCCTGCCCCTTCCCTGGGGGCCTGTCCCAGGGCCTCTTTTCTGCATCTGAGCTTCAGACCAACAGGAGACTCCTCTCCACGCAACAACAAAAAAAAGAAACTTGCAACAGGATCCCATCCAAGCTGGGTGGGGTTGAGGGGCCTCTTCCCAGAAGCCCCATCCTGAGAAGCACCAAGATGTCTCTTTCCAGTTCAGAGCTGTGGTCTGTCCTGGCCCCATCATCTCTGAATCTGTTCTCTGCCAAGAGCTCCGGCTATGTCTTCAGTCTTCACTGTTTGCGAGATCTGTGGCTGCTTCACATTCTTGATCGATTTCTCCAGGAGGCCAGACCTTGAGGGAGGGGTGCACACAGAGGGCAGAGAAGAGGGCTGTCAAGAACTCCTGCCGGCATGGCCTTTCTGGGGCAGAGTACATGGCAGTCGCAGCCTCTCTCTGGCAGTGAGCAGGCAGGCACAGCCGAGGAGAAAGAAATGTCCTAGCTGCAGCTCAGAGGCATGACGATGTTCACACTGAGGCCTGGGAAGCACAGGATCTCCCTCAGCAATAGGAGGCTGTGCTAGACAAGCAAGGTGGACCTGCAGGTAAGGGGCTCATGTGGGTGACCAGGCAGTAACAGCTCAGGGAACAGCTAGACTTAGGATCCCTCAGTCTGGTCCCCCTGCTGCAGCCCACAGCTTCCACCTTGCTTTCCTTAGTCTGTCCCATCCCAGGGAATTTCTCAGCTTACCTGGCCCTGGCCCAGCTCCCAACAAGAGGCTACCCCACCTTAGCAAGGAGTGAAAACTGAGAGACCACCCTAGGCCCAGTAGCACCCTCTGGAGTAAATAAATCCCAAGTAGTCCCCAGCCAGCTGTCCCACAGCCCCTCACCTGGCAGGCTCAAAGAGCTAGCAACTGTTACTCTGCTTCCTGCCACTCTGGGCCAGCTCTTGCGGCTGCTCGTCCTGCTGAACCCCTTCTGCTGGCTTCTCCCCTGGCAGCTCCTGCTCCAGCTCAATCTCTCTGACCTCAAGCTCAACATTGGCTTCCTTCTCCTGACTCCTGGGTAAGACATGGCCACAGCCTTCATGGGGCACTGACAGAATCGCACTCCCAGCTGGGCCACACTCTTTCCTCCAGCAGAGCAGCCTGTGGCCAGGTGGGACTGTACCAGCTGGGTTCAAGAAGCATCTAAGCAACCCAGACAAATCACACAGGTCCACCCGGCACCCACAGTCCAAGTTGCTGGGGCTGAGGAAGTACAAGCTGCCTGACCCAATTCCTCATTCTGGTCCCGGTTCCTCCAAAATGCCTTCTTTAAGGGCAAGGCCAGAATCCCTTGCCCTTCCTGACACCCCCAGACGCAGCACTCTCCCATGCTGTGTTGTGTGTTACATACACACACACAAACACACACACACACACACACACACACACACACACACACACACACACCACACACCATCCTCCAACCCCTAGACAGAACCAAGTCCATTTTGTACCAGCTAGTATCCTCATCTCAAAAATGGAGAAACAGGCTCAAGGAGTCATGGGGCTTGTCTAAAATCATCCAGTAAGATAAATTCTGTAAACATATCCTCTGCCACGCGACCTGGGGAGATGTCTTCTTCCCCAGATCTTCTGAACCAAGTCCAGTCTTGTGAAGCAGGTACACATAGCATGCCACCGACACACCCCAACCCAGGCAGGACCAGCCAGATGAGGCTCTAGGCAGGGGATGAAGGGCTCCTTGGGACTCGGGGGAGGAAGATTAATGTACCTCACTCTCTCAAACTTCTTGTCTCGGTAAAAGTCGCTCTTTCTGATGAGGTAGATAAGTACCAGGTCACAGAAGAAAGCCCCCTGCAAAAGAGTTCGAAGCTTGGATTCAGAATCCTAGCTTCAGAATCTGAACATGCAGAAACAGCCCAGAAAGGGGTGATGAACAGGGGCCCAAAAGTCACTGTGGTTAGATCTGGACAAGCTGCCTGACTCCATGGTTCAAGCTCCCCTCACTGCCCTAACCAGACCTAACGTGAACACATATTTGCTAAGAATCTACCACCTGCCAGGTTTGCACCAGGGTGCCAGGAGGATGTGGAGCACAGAGACCTGGGGACTCCCTATGCTGCAAGAGACAAGTGGGCAGTGATATAAAACCATTGGTCTTATAATAAGAACAAAACTGGGAGCAGGTGGGAAATAGCATCCACTCTGAATGTAGGCCTGGAATTGCATTCCAAAGGAAGAAGCAGGCTTGTCATCACCAGTAAATGCCCAGGGCCTGTGGGGGAAGAGCAAAAGATGCTTTCTGTGGGTGTGAGAACTAGCGTGTCTGAGAATGTTTTGGAGACATAGGTCCTAGCAGGGAGGCATGACCATAGCAGTTGTGATGCTTTGTAGAGAGCCCTGTGATAGTCAGTGTAAGATGGGATGTTGGGCATCTTAACATTGACAACAGGGATGCTACAACTGTGGTCAGAAAAAGACAGGAAGCCTGGGCAGACCCAGTTGAGGCCAGCTGGGGTGGACTAATCAATCACCCCCAAACACAGGCTTCAGATCAGAGCATGTTGTATGTAATGCCTGTCTGCTCCAGCAGAGGGCGACTCTACCCCAGTGCAGGGATAGAGGAGTTGCTCCTAAAGGCAGAGGAGAGCCTGCCTGCAGCGTGCATATCTTCCCCAGACTCCAGAAATGTCATTGTCAATTCCTCGTTCCTACTACTTCCTCAGCCTTCACTACCACCTTTGCTGCATCATTGCCTTCATTTCACAGCTGTGTCCCCAGACTTCCAGACTACCCACACGGTATGAGAGCTACCCATGCACACAGCCAGGGATCCCTAAAGATGACTGCCTGAGTCAGGAACACTCCACTTGGGGACCACTGTTTTGTTTTGTTTTTGTTTTTTTTTCGAGACCATGTTTCTCTGTGTAGCCCTTGCTGTCCTGGCACTCGTTCAGTAGACCAGGCCGGCCTCAAACTAAGAGATCCACCTGCCTCTGCCTCACTAGAGCTGGGATTAATGGTATGCTCTGCCACTGCCCATTGTTAGCGATCACTCTTAATCCTCTGTCAAGACAGGCTTCTCAGTCTCCATGCAAAGTCTATCCTGAGTCCTGACAGGATCCTCTAGTGGCAGCTTGGGGTGCCCAGACAGAGGAGGGAAGAGGCCTCTGGAAGCCTCGGCAGAGAACATGCTGTGTTGGCATGAGCCCCCAACAAAGACTCCCACACTTAACCTCCTCCCAGAAGTACCAAGGGTATGACAGGTATTTGCAGGGAGCCGTCTGTCCCTGCACTCCAGCTGTCTCCTACCATGGAAGCCACTATGGGTGGCTAAACATCTACCCCAAAGGGTTACAAGACTATCTCCCCTGCTGCTCATCCTTTCAAATGCAGGTTCTCAGATGGAGACCAATTTTGAGCAAAACAGCCGTGGGGCGGTCCCACTGACACCTTGTGAATACAGACCAGGGATTCACTTAAACACATTACACAGGACACCCCAAAGCAAAGACCTTGGCCCCAAATGGAAACAGTGTTCAAACTGACATAGCCTAATCAGTTTCAATTACTAGAACTGGAGCCGGTGATTTTTAGACCCAGCATCCCAAAGATTCTAGCCCACACCAGGACTGGAGGTTGATCGACCTGTATCACACTCCACTTAAGCTCACAGTCAGAGCTACAGGCTGTCAGTGTCCTGGGGGTGGGGGCTGGCAGGGTGTGAAGTCACCCTTGTCCCTGTGACCTCACAGGCCCTCTTGTCTTCTGGGCTCAACATGCTCCTCCCAAGCAGTTACCTCCCTTTCCCTAGGAAGCTGGCAAAGCAGGTGAGGTACTCACAGCACCCATGAGCGCCAGTCCAGAACCTATGTTGATGACTGTAGGGATGATGCTGAATTTTCCTGCCTGTGAAGCAGAAACAACCAGGTGAGTAAGGCAGGGTAGACAGCCGGATCCCAAGGGCCACTCCAAACTCCCTGACCCAGCAACCACCGGCACTGGAATGGAAAGCAAATCTGCATACCTTGCCATTAACTATCACATCAAAGCGGATGCCATAGGCTTTCATCAGGTCACGGAACTCTACCCCATTAGAGTCGCGGTAATACCTGGCAAACCTGGGGAGACAAGGTCCAAGGGATGCTCGTCTGCCTGTACCTTTCTCCACTGCAGCACGAAGTGGCTGCTTTAGGAATTCTCAGCAATCCAGGGTCCTAGAGCAACTCTAGGAGGGTACCCAGACCCACTCACAGAGGCACGCACAAAGACAGGGTTTTCCCAGTATGCTCAGTGCCACGAGAACACTGGTGGACCATGAGAACACTGGTGGACTTGACCCAGCAGAGGATATAGAACACAGGCCACACAGAAGCAGTAGTTACCTGAAATTGTACCCAGAGGAGATAGATTTTGTATGCTTGTTGTCCAGACGGTTGAAATAATAGCGTGGGTCACATTTAGGGGCAGCTTTATCAAGGTCACAGTTCCATTCAATGTGGATTCCTATCACACCACCCTTGATACAAGAAACAGGATGAATGCTAGAGCTGTCTGTGGATGGGCAGCCCTTTGTGAGAGCCAGACAAGTTGTCCAGAGGTCAGCTAACTGGACTGGCCTGACCACATTTTACACACAAATCAACATGTGTCCATGGGGTTCCTTTCAACTGTTTCTGACAT